ACGTTAGTTAAAGACTTCGATGCTTAAAATGTTTAGGGAGAAATGGAATACTGGTGTGTATTTTGTCTTTAAAGTACAGAGACCAGCCATAGTGTATACAGTTTACATACTGTAATACTGTATGTTTATGTTCCAAAATTAATATCATTTATGGCCTTCACACGTGTTATGCTCTTATTCTTTTTATGCTCAGCTACTAAGATTTCCCTTCAGTGGTAAAATTCCATATAAATATTCAATACTAAAACGGGCACAGTAAAAACATTTAAATCTTTCTACGACCGCCCAACTGCTTTGACATGTGCCCCTGTCGGTCAACCAATCACGTGTGTGTCTGTGCCGCGCACTTTGGCTGCATCTGTACATGTTCTTGATGCAAGTTATTTAAGTTTATTCTTAACAACATTAGTAATGTGCAACATATACAATTGTTGTTTTCTGAATAATGTTAATAAATAATGAAAAAAAATGAAAATTTTACTCTTTGTAAAGAATATTTTTCTATTAATTAGCTTTATCATTATCCACCTTAAAAGTAAAAAAAGTTTTTTTTACATTTCTTTACAGTGTAATTACCTTATATGTTCTGATTTAACAAAGCATTGATCAATTTCACTTTCACTCTTTCCCTGAGGGCCTATAGTAGATTGCATCTGATATTAAGCAGATGGGAACAGGTAGGTGAAAATATAAACTGAACACTGCACTGCTTTGACAATATTGTTAATCTAGGGACATTTACACAATCTTTATATGATCTTACAATGAATTGTGAAAACAATCTCTCCTAATATGTTATACAACAGGGCTAAGTAAAATATAAACCTATAAGGGTAAAACTGCCAATTTATGACTACTTTAAAAAACAAAACAATAAGGTTTATCTTAACTCAACAAAATTACGTTACCTTAACTAAAATCAGCAAAAGTAAGTTTTTTGTGTATACTGTAGTCCCATTTACCTCATGTGGGCTTTCCACGCCCTGACTAACACCTAGAAAAGCATTTCAGGATAATCTCCTAGAGATTATGCATTGGTGCCTAACTGATGTTTTACAGAATGGGACTAATTAACTATTCCTGCCTTGGATGAAGCAAAGAATTGACAATTAACTGATGAAAGTAAGTTAAATATACAGTATCTGTATAACTAATGCATGTTTTTATTGCAAATATTTTAACACATTCCAATCCATATACAGTGCCTTGCGAAAGTATTCGGCCCCCTTGAACTTTTCAACCTTTTGCCACATTTCAGGCTTCAAACATAAAGATATAA